TTGAAAATTCAAAACATGCGCCATATTGGATCCGCCATTTTGAATTTTCAAAATCTGTCCTTATATTCTTTAACAGCAACCTCAAAAACCCATATATAGATTTTTTCGATCGAATACGATCACTTATAAATTGGGCTTATAGCCTCACATATGCTACATAGGCTGTTTTAACGTTGTTACAAAACTCCGAATATATTTAACTTCAATCAATGATATCTCGACGAAAAAAAAAGCCATCTTGAATCTGAAAAATGGATTTCAAAGGACAAGAGTGCTCCTTTGTGATGCTTCTACTCGTTTTGGAAAAAAAAATTTATTCAAGATGCTATGTAACCTCAAAAATAGCAAAAAACGGTGTTTTTTGCACTTTTAGGTTAGGATATCTCGCAACTCAGACATATAGTCTAAATTCTGAGCTCGGATTCGTTTTCAGCGCACCAAAATACTTCGGGTACACTAGGTCCGGTCTCAGGTTCTGAGATTTGTTGGCCTGTGTTATCTATCTTGAGATTTTTGAGGTCGTTGATTACGAATACATAGTGAGATTTTGCAAATTCAAAATGTTGGATCCAATATGACGGATCAAACGCTAGAGATTCCATGAAATTTAAACAATTGTATCGGGGTATTTCGCTCGGCGTGCTAACAGAAATCTCACCCGTTAAAGAAAGGATGTTCCCAGCGTCGCGAGGCTAACCGCCGCCTCGATCAGCTCGTTCGGACAGCCTCGATCTTCTGACCTTTCGCCCCAGAGCCCGTGAAAACCCACACGTGGAGAACACGTGCGGCGATCCGCGTTGCCCAGTGACTCAAGGTCGGGCAGGTTCTGTCGTGGGCGTCAGAAGATGGAAAACCAAAGGGAATTCGAAAGAAAAACTCTCAGCCAATTGTCGCAAGATCTGCAGTTTTATTCCTTCTTGTCGCGTTCAATCTTACAATGGTAACGCTATGACCGAGAGGTTTCGCCGGGTATCTCGCGCTCGCGATGAGAGAGAGAAAGACACGGACTATCTAGCTTCGCTTTCCGGTAGCGCGCATTTACATTTAATGTCGGGGACTTACGCTACGGGAACGAGTCGCTGCTAACAAGGTGTCCTCGACGGTGTCCACGGGTCGCGTCGGTTTCTGGCCCTTCCTCGCAACACACCTTTCGGTCAAGGTTTTCCCTGCCCGGGTTCGCAGTTGCCCGCGATCCTCGACTGGTGCCTCAGATCGCTCTGGGCAACTGGCAGTAATGGGCAGCGAATGACCTTTCCCTGAGCCGTGATTCACAGCGACCTTGGAACCACCGGGTCTTCGTATGATATCGGTCGAGAATCTCCTTAAATTCCCAATGCAATCACTCGTCACTCGTATTTTTCTTACCCGCAGGTCCGGACTCGACTTCTCACATGCATTCCTCCTTCGCGTCTCGCGCACGCCGGCCGGCGGCCTAATCGCTCTCATTCCCCTTCCCCTTTTTCCTACTGTCACATGCTATGCGCGCCTAACACGCGCTGGCCGGTGCCCTAATCTCTCTCCTCTCTCCCGCTTTTTCGTTCGTTCGCCTCGCAGGCGCTTTCCGCTTCTCCTTCTCTGATTTATTCTCGCGGGTCGGCTTTTGCGTCGCCCCACGCGATGGAAGCGCTTAGGCTCTACCTTTAACGAGCGACACTCGTTACAGCCTCCCCCTAGTCGACCGGTGTATAGGGACGACATCGGCGACGATCTTCGTTTAAGCGCCTGGGTGATATAATGAATGATAGATGGACGGGTAGGGATTTTCGGCGGGATTGAGTGACCAAAGGAAACAGATTTCAAACTTTTCTCTTTTTCTCTTTTTTTTTTCTTTATTTTTTCTTTTTTTTTATCCGCCGTCGTATAATCTATTCTCCTGTTCTTCGGGTCCGGTTCTTCTCCTTTTCCTCCTGTACCGTCGGATAGCTCCGTGTTCTACTATCCGCGGATACCGGCTGGATTTAGCTACTCCTGGATGCCCACAAATATAGCAGCCCTGATCGTCCTTTCGCGATTTTCCCTCGCGTACCCCCGCAGGGTTGACGATGTTGGGATTGGACTGTCTCAGGTGCGCCCAACCTTGCGTCTGGGGAGCTTGATTGGGGCGAGGACGTGATTTTTCCCTCGCCCGTTCCCCAGATCGTCCGCCACCCAGGTTGATCGTGATGTTCACCGAGCCAAGGCCCGACGGAGACGCATCAACGCTTATTTTGCAGGGCGAAGGATTTCGACTTCGCCCTGCCGTTCGGGTGGCTGAGGTCGGGCGTTCGGGCATCCTCAGAGGTGTCTGCCTTGGGAACTTCTGGGCTCGCCGTATGCTCACGATGGCGTCGCGGTACGCCTGCCATCTTAGCACCCGGTCCACCCAGGGCATGACGGAGGGATGGGTCCCCGGTAGCTCTTTGTACGCCTGGAACCTCTCCATTACCCGTGTGTGTAAGCGGCTAACGAACTTCCAGGCGTTTTCCAATTCTCGGAGACCCCTCTCCATCACTCGCCACCGCTCCTCTGGCGACGTTACCTCGCTCCACAACAGTGGCGAGGTAGGCCAGTCTTCTTCATCGAAGGGGTGGTCGGGCGTCGGTGCCCCATGGCCCTGCCGGGCCGCGCGGGCGGGTTCCCCAGCGTCGGATGATGGTCCAGTGTCTCCGATAGCGGTGGGAGTTTCGCCCTCTCTTTTGACTAAAGTGGGTGCGTGGTCCGGATCCTCTGGTGCTACGGGCTCGTTCCTTTCTTCTCCCCTGGGCGGCTCGGTGGGGCGTGGCACCTCCGACCTCGAGGTTTCCCTGCCGGGGACGGACCGACCTCCTTCGGGAGAGGCGGGTTCCGGCGATATCTCTGCCTCCATAGATGGTTTGGGAGGGGGAGAGGTTTCTTCCTCCTCGGTGTGGGTGTCCTGTCCACCTTCCTCGTCATCCACGAGGTCTATTATCTCGATGACATGGGGCTTGGGCCTAGGTTTGGAGGTCCCCATTGGTATGTACCGCGAGAACAACTCCTTGCGGAGGTCGTTCTTGGGCGGCGGGCAAAGTCCAGGCCGCCCCGCGATATTTACGGGTAACCCCTCCGTGGCCCTATGAACCTCGTGGATGGTTGTCTCTGGTACTGTCTTTTGCAGGCACGCTGGAAGATCCGGTTCCTTCCGGACGTGCTGCAGCCCTAGGGCGAAGCGAGTCTTCGCTCCATCCAATAAATTATGGAACGCCCGCCCTAGCTAAGATGCCCACAAGGCGTCGACCAGCAGGTTCGTAGCTTCCAGCAGCTCCGAACGGAGGAGGCGCGCCGTAGGGCATCGCGGAATCGCCTACGGGCCGCGATGAAAACGGCCCTCTTCTCGGGCTCAAGCTGTAGGCGCTCCACGTTCTCGACGAGCCACTCCACGGCCTCATGAAGGGCGCTTTCCATCCTGTAATGGAGTTATATGGTTTTGATGAAGAGGTAGGATGGAGGGCCCGTCAGGCCGAAGGAAAGAGATGAGGTTTAGATGATTCAATAAATCGATTCGCCTGCTTGCTTCGCTCTAACTCGCATGCTCATCCGGCGGACCACTTGTACGCTTTTCCGTGGTCGGCCTCGGGGACGTCTTACCGACGGTAATTTGGGAACTGGGGCGGGGATTTTCCGCGGGCGACCTCGCCCCCTCCTAATCGGTTCGACGGGATTTTGACCTCCTGGGTCTTCGCCCAATACGCCGTTGCCCCTGTTTTCAGGCGGTGTTTCGCTATCTAGACCCGCGCTTTCGATGTGCGGTGGTTGATTACCTTCCTGGGGCGGGTCGCGCTTCGCCTCGCTTCCCCCCGGTGGTTGAGTATATTTGTCTTCCTCTTCATCCCCCTCTTGATAGAAGGGCTTCAAGTCTTCGGCATGGATCACTCCGTCGAGGTCCTCTTGATGATTCGCCAAGCGACATGTATTGGAGCCGAGCTTTTCTCTCGCTACATAAGGCCCTGCAAATGTCGGCGCCAATTTTGCCGTGACTCCGCTATCTGTTGAAGACAAGATGCGGCTTACTCGCCAAACTCAATCCCCGACTTTGAAAGGAGTGGGGCGGCGCTTCCGATCGATGAAGCTCGCTTGCCGCCCTTGCTCTATTCCTGATCTATTCACCGCTTCCTGATATAGCGCCGACAGGCCTCCCATGTGATCTGCCCAGTTCTGCCGCTCTCTCTCGTCCTCCTTTCCGCTAACGAGAGAGTCCTGAGCGCGGCGCAACGTATGGGGCGGGATCGGCTGCCGTCCGTAATTCAATATGGCTGGACTCACTTTCGTCGTACTATGTTTCGCTCTATTCAATGCGAATACCAAGTCACTGAGTTTTACGTCTCAGTCACTGTGTCGTCCTTCGAGATACAGTCGAACCTCTGCTACTGCACCCTCCGCAACTGCCCGACCTCTGCCACTGCCCGTTACCTAGCCTCTCTCACTACCCGATTTATGACTCGAGCGCAGTGCCGTGCGCTCTCGGTCGCTTACCTGGCACCTGCCGGTGGCGCACTTTTATGAGTCTGGCGCCGACGCGTCGCTCTTCAAGATGACTCTTAATGACTTGTAATTTGTGACTTATGATTTACACTCCTTGTAATTTATGACTCTTGTAATTTGTGGGGGGGATATGTACCTAAAGACGCGCTTTGACTTCAGTCTGTATTCGACTTTCGATGCAACACCCTCGTCCTTTTCTCCAGTTTACATATCTCTCAGTGTCCAAAACAATTTTATTCAATCGAGTGTATAGTTTCTGTATGTTTTGATTGTGTTTTTAAAATCAACTGGTTTTCAAGAAGTTTTCAAGATTAACTGGTAAGTTTACAAGTCTATTTTTACACTATATCTTTTATATTTAGTCTATAAAATAAAATAAGAAAACAATTTTTTTAATCAAACCTGCCAATCAATTGTCAGGTAGCTTCTTTCATTATATTTTTCGATTCTTATTAATATTTGCGTCAATTTTTTATATATTTGTTTCATTCATTTGAATTTGTACAATAATTTTTCAGATCATGGCAGCCAAGAGTTTGAACCTGTGTCAAGTAGCTGAAATAAAGCAGAAGTTGTCCAACAATGTCAAGATGGCTCATCTTGCCAAGGAATACAGCGTTTCTCCGCACACTATCAAGAGATTGAGCCAGGGCTTGGACTTGTCTTTGGAGGACAATCTCCGGGGACCAGAAAACGGCAGGTCAACTTAACAGTGCAGCAAAAAGCCGCTATCGTCGCAGCTCTGGACGCCGGCAAAACAACGCAGAGTTTGGACCAGCTCTACGGCGTTGACCCGACGACGATCAGAAGATTGAAGTCGCAGAAGCCAGAAATTATGAAGCGCACCCTTGAATTGGATGACAGCTCCAATCTCGGGCGATGTTCTGAAAGCTAAGGCCTTGGAGCTCAACAAGTTCGTTTGGGAAGCGGCCGATTTCAAGGCCAGCAATGGATGGCTAGAGAAATTCAAGAAGCGCTACCAGATTCGGCAGTTATCTATGCAAGGAGATAAGTTGTCATCCGACAACGTAGCAGCAGAGAATTTCAAGGAGACGCTGCATTCTTACTTGAAAGAGAAAGGATACACCGAGGATGAGGTCTACAACGCCAATGAGACGGGCTTATTTTTCAAGTCCTTGCCGAAGAAAACTCTAGCGGCGGGATACGAGCGGCAACCGTCGGGATTGAAGGAGCAGAAAGAACGAGTGACTGTGATGTGCTGCGCCAATGCGTCCGGATCGCATAAAATCACTCCTCTACTCATCGGCAAGTCGAAAAATCCCAGATGTTTTTCGAAGTGCGAGAGAGAGAAACTGCCCGTCAAATACACGAACAGCCGTTCAGCTTGGATGGATCGGAACATATTCTTGGACTGGTTCGAGAATATTTTCGTCAAGGAGGTCCAAGCGCATCATCCGCCGCATCAGAAAATTTTTCTCCTGTTGGACAATGCACCGTCGCACCCCGCAGCAGCTGAATTAAATTACATCGCCGAGAACGTTGAAGTGATGTTCCTGCCGCCGAACGTCACCGCTTTGATTCAGCCAATGGATCAGGGCGTCATTGAAAAAATGAAAAAAATGTTCCGGAAAAATTTAGTCAAAGCGCTAGTCCTAGAAGAGGCAACATCGGGAGCAAGCGTCATCGATTTGGCAAAGAAGCAGACGGTGAAGGACTGCTACTACCGAATTTCTAGTTCGTGGAATGTTATCAACGCCAGAGATCTCCGCAACGCATGGAACAGAATTTTGGGCAAGGACGATTTTCCCTACGAAAAAAGAGCATCGGCTGAAGAAGTTAACTTGTTACAACTTCTTAAGGATAGCCCAGCCTTCGCCGACTGCACATTCGAGATGGCCCAAGCATGGATCGAGGAAGATTACACGGATAATGGCTGGCAAAATTTGAACATCCAACAAATTTTTGAAAGGTAAAATTTTAAAAAAAAGTAAAAGTTTTATGTAATTATTTATATGTAATTTACATGTGTTCATAGAAACAAATATGTACTCAAAAAACATTGTATTAATATATTTTTTTTATCTATTATTTTAGAATCACGTCTAATAATCCGGAGAAGTTCGCTGAAGAAGACGAGGAGCCGATCGCAGAAGTCGAAAATATAGAACCAGAGAAAGAAGTTTCCGTTGGTGAGGCCTACGATACGGCTCTGAAGCTTCGAACATTCTTAGAGCGAACGTGGGATTCGACGAGCGTGCAGATAAGCAATGTGCAAGAAGTCGCCGATTTAATACTAAATATATACAAACCAATGTAATTTGTATGCTGAATGTGTATGTTGATTTTGTACGTTGATTTTATTTGTTGATTTTTTATGTTGATTTTGTATAATGTACATGATTTTGTTAAAATAAAGCATAGTTAAATTTATTTATAATGTTTTTTTTAACGGAAAATTTGAAAAATTTAAAATTTATGTATGTACCTACAAACATGCATTATCACCTGATATTTTTCTAAATTATAAACAGTACATCATTTTGTTTTCTTCCACTACACTTTTTTTTTTAGGTAAGTTGTATCACACCATTCGAGTAAAATGATTTACTGTGTATAATATAAAACAAAATTATTAGGTGATAATGCAAGCAAAATTTGTAACATTTTCTCCGGGCCCCCCTCGAGACCAGCGCGGCACGCCACTCAATGCCCGTACCTGACGGAGCGCTCTTATTGGCTAACGTCAGAGAGCCCGTAGCGGGTAGTGGCAGAGGGCACCAACTCCCGAGAGCGTGTAGTAGCAGAGGTCCGACTGTACCGCAATGAAAAATTGTTCGCCTTATTTCTATTTTACATTGTATGATTTTCATTGATTTGAATTCCGTTTTTTGTAATAGTTCGATAGTGGCTTATGTGCTATTTACTTGAATTTCTTGAAAGTTGCATTCCCCTGCATCCAAGAGTGAATATGTTGTAATGGTAGGGTTCGTTGAGCCGCAATTGAAGCCAATAAGTCCTTTGCTTGTTGAAAAGGAGGTGATTATGATTAAGATAGTCATTGATTTTTGCGCCATTGTGTTTCCTGGAAATAGAATAAGATTACTATGCTTGTTTTGCTACGCTTAATTTATTGGCATGAATTGTTTTTGGTTTTCCATTGTAATCGATTGCAACACTGCCTTTTTCAGTTATTTTTAATACTTCAAAAGGTCCTAAATATTTATTTTTCTCTAATTTCCCCGGTCTTGGTTCTTTCAAGAACCATACTTTATTTCCAATTTTAAAATTTACTGGATTTGTAAATCGGTCATAATAATTTTTTGATTTTTGTTTTGAGGTTATTAGATTTTCTCTAGCCATGTGTAATATTATATTCATGTTTTTTATTAAATTCTCTAGGTATCCATTAAAAGTTGGTAATTGTTCGGATTTTTTTAATGGTACACTAGATGGTAGTTTAGCTGGAAAAGCAAAAACTAATTCATGTGGTGTGAAATTGTGACTAGTGTGTACGCTGGTCTTGTCGTTGAATTGGGCCAACTCTAGGAGTTCGTCCCAATCACATTTTTTTGATGTAAATTGTTTGATGTATTCGCAAAGTGGATGGTTAGCTCTTTCGACAGATCCATTAGATTGAGGTGAAAACGACGTTGTTTCAATTTTTTCGAAATGAAATCTTTTGGCAATTTGTTTTAACATTTTGCTTCTGAAGTTTTGTGCTCTGTCCGTTAGTACTATTTTTGGAGTTCCGAAAGTACAAATAAACCTTTTTATAAAAGCTTCGCTTACAGCTTCCGCTGTTTGGTCTTTTAATGCTACTAATGTGATAAATTTTGAAAGTTGGTCTTGAATTGAAAGTATGTACCGATTATTACTTTTTGTAATATCAAATGGCCCCATTATATCCATGGCAACTTTATCAAAAGTTTTGAAAGGTTTATCTGTTATAATCATTGGTTGTCGTGTAGGTTTACATTTTAATTTGTTTCTTTGACATTCTATACACATGGAAATTCTTTTTTGTATGTCGTTCTTTAGGTTTTCCCAACAGTATTTATCTTTAATTCTATTGTAAGTTCGATTCACTCCCGAATGACCTCCTAATCTCGAAGAATGATATATTTCAAAAATTTTATTTCTCTGGTCTAACTCACATATATATTCAACATGATTCATACAAACAATAGTCTTGATGTTAGTTCCTATGAAAGTATCATTTTTGATTTCTTCTATTTCTGACCATTGTATGTTTCTTATGTCAATGTTTTTTGAAATACTCAGCATAGAGATCTTATTTTGTAATAGAAGTCTTTTCAAATTTTTGAACAATTCGGTTAAATTTTGTTTTACTGTTTCAGTCGCTGCGGCAGTGTTCAGGCACAAGATAAATATTTTTCGTTTACCGTAGTTTAATGTTTCCAAATTATTACTGGATAAATTTTTGTTTATTTTCAAATTTTTCTCTGCAAGTATGTTACTCGTATTTTTGTCCTGCCTCTCATGTTTTTCAGAGATTGTTCTAGAACGAAACGACTTCCTTGGCGAAGTAAGCCGCTTTAGTTTGAAATTGTCCTTGATTGCTGATTTATCTATCGTAGTTAGATTTTTAATTGATTAGAATAATGAAGGGGAAAAATCACTAAACACTGTTTACGGGAAAAAGCCGTAACGGCATAAAAAACCCTCTTTATTAAATGAAAACTGGAAATTACACTTGCGAAGATAACGCGGGATAGAGACGTCGCGCGGAGACAATGGTTGTTACCATGCACTCATTCACACGCTCTCACACAAAGAAAACTTTATACACGATAGATTCACAGTCACTGTCACACATCCGAATTACATCGAAATGAGAAAAGAGACCACGTGAGTGGACGAAAACCTTATACTACGTGGGTAATATAAGTGAGGTTGCACGTGGGTGCACGAGGACGTTACCGAGAACGTGAAGGCGCGAGGGAGCTCCGCACGCGGGACGCTGTCGTCGACGATTGCCGGATGTACCGGCAAGAGCAGCCATGCTTGGCGCGAGTGGCGCAGCGCCGTAAGGTGCTGCCACCACGCTAGGTTTAAGGCCCTAGCGCCTCACACACACTTACACACAGACACACCAGAGCTGAGCGCGCAGCTTGATTCGCTTCAAAAAATACATATCTGAATATCGTACGTATGTGTTAATACATGTGTATCATGTTGCGACGTAACATACTGCCGGCCACGGCTGCGAGACTAATTGGACCATTAATGGTCGAGCAGTGTTAGACTTAACAAGAGCTTATATTGACTAGTTGACCCATTCCGGATTACGAATCTAGGACGGTCTTTGGTTTCTTTACATGAAGAGCCAGTTTTCGTTGAAGGGACTGGTCTATTGATTAGCATCGACATCACAATCTGATTGATTGAAAGCTATTTTGCTTTAATTTCTTAAATTACTAATACAACGAAACGAACGATTTACAAGTCTTAAATCTAATGAACAACTTATTCTACTTAAGATCATCTCGTGCCACAAGTTTGACACTCCGCTGATCACGCTTGTCCTAGATTAACGTCGACGAAAGGTTGGAGTCTCCGCGACTATGGGAACCTGATCTCCGAACAGGTATCGCGCTTCCAAAGATTGATTCTTTGGGCATCTGGCTGTAGTGCACTCTGTACCCTACCCTCTCGCGGGCCAGGCTTCAAGCACTTCCAGAATACCCCATGGTTCGACTCGTTTATGGCAAACCAAAGAGCGCACATCTGGGGCTAATCACGAGTTCGGGAGGGTGACTTGAGACTCCAACGGGTCCGCGTTTTCCTGATCTACAGGGAGCACACAGAGCCGAGTAATGTTTCGTTTGTAGATTCCAGAAGCCATCTTCACCGATGCTACTCGAGCAATGCCATCGCTCCCAGGGTGGATCTCCACGACGACTCCCAGCGGCCATCTTGCGCAAGCAGGGTTGTCCTCCATGGACACAACCACAGATCCAATTGATAATGCAGTTCCAGAAGTCAACCACTTCTGACGAGTTTGCAGTTCATGCAAGTACTCTTTGTGCCATTTGCTCCAGAAGGCTTGTCTAGCTTTAGAGACGAGCTGATAGGAGGTGAGACGATTGTCCGGAACTGAAACATAATTTTGGTCGAGTAAGAAATTGAAAGAACGCCCGATTAAAAAATGAGCTGGAGTTATCGCAAGGGAATCGTTTGGGTCGGCAGAAATCGCGTATAATGGTCGAGAATTTAACACGACGGCGATTTCCTTTAATAATGTTTCCAATTGTTCGTATGTGAGCTTTTGATCCTTAATGACACGATTTAGATGGTGTTTGAAACTCTTAACCGCCGCCTCCCACAAACCGCCGAAGTGCGGTGAGAGAGGGGGATTAAAGTTCCATTCAATCCGTTCGGCTGCAGCAAAGGTTTGAATCGCGTCCTTAAATTCAGGCGAATCATGCAATTGGTAAATCCTTTGCAGTTCGCTGTTCGCGCCCACAAAGTTAGTACCATTGTCAGAGTACATGGTGGTCGGTTTGCCGTGCGTGGCAACGAACCGACGAAAACACGCGAGGAAGCCCTCGGCTGAGAGATCGGATGCTACCTCGATGTGGACAGCCTTAGTGGCCATACAAACGAAAACGGACCCATACGCCTTAAGGAAGCTTCGATTTCGATCCTTCTTTTCCTTGATCATAATCGGACCAAAAAAATCGACGCCGGTCTTCGCGAAAGGGAACGCAGGGTTTACTCGAGATTCTGGAAGGTCTGCCATCTTGGCATGTGAGAATTTTGGCTTTTGCCGAAGACAGGGTACGCAGTGGCGCAAGACATATCGAATCTGGTTTCGACCGTTGAGAATCCAAAATCTTTCGCGTATCCTATAAAGAGTGGATTGAACCCCTCCGTGAAGATTTCGATGATGAGCGTCGCGGATGATGAGATCTGACACGTGATGGTTACTGGGTAGCAAAATAGGGTATTTTTGGTTGAATTGAAGATTTAAATTCTTCAACCTACCGCCTACTCTGATCAGTCCATACTCATCTAAGAAGGAATTGAGTTCATCGAACTTCGTTCGACTCCTGAAAGCGCCGTTGGGGCATTTCGATATTAATTTCGTAGTCGATTTGAGCAATCTAATCTCGGAACTAAAACATTCTCTTTGAATAAGAAGGAGGATCTGGAGTTCAGCGTAAACTATTTCGGCTTGGGAAAGATAACGAATCCCTCGTTGCGATTTACTCGCAATTTGAGTATCGTCTGGTAGTGATTTTCTTCTACTCCAACGGAGAAGATATCCGATGGACCTAATAAGACACCCGTAATCAGAGAAACAAGAGTAGATGTTACTTCCGGAAGAGGTTGTAAATAAAACGATTCCTTCTTTCGCGCCTAGAGGATCAACTAACGAGGGTTCTTCCGATGAAGGCCATTGATCTTCCGGAAGGACTAACCATGGAGGGCCCGAAAGCCAGAGGGGATCAGTTAGAAGTTCCCTGGGTAGCTGTCCTCGGGATAGAGAATCGGCAGGATTGTCCTTCGAACGAACATGCTTCCACTCGACCTTCTCACCTAACGCTTGAATATCAGCGACTCTGTTCGCTTCGTAAGTTCTAAGTAGATGAGGAGCTTTGCCTAACCAGCAGAGAACGATTTTTCAGTCTGTTCTAAGAATTGTTCGCGCGATATTGAAAGTCAGCTGGGTCACCAGTTCGACATATAGTCTCTTCAGAAGGGCAGCGCCAGAGAGTTCTAAACGAGGTATGGTGTGATGACTAAGCGAAGCGACCTTAGATTTACTGCAAGCTAACCTAACAGTAACATTTCCCACGGAATCAACGGAACGAATGTAGATGCACGCGCCGTATCCCTTTATCGACGCGTCGCAAAAGCCGTGTATCTCGGTGGATATTGGGTTTGTGACGTCATATCGCAGATACCTTGGTAACGCAAGTTCTCGCACTAAAGGAAGTTGTTCAGCTAAAGCTATCCACTTGGTATGGATGTCTTGAGGTAGGGATTCGTCCCAGGTAATGTTAGCTTTCCAACAGTCCTGAATTAATGTTTTGGCATACAAGGTTAAAGGACCTAATAAGCCTAGACGATCGAAGATCCTTGCAATTTGGGAAAGGAGTTTTCTTTTGGTAGAAGCTAACGCATCAGGGTTTGCGGAATACGTAAAGACATCCCGTTGTGAGTCCCAGATGATTCCGAGAGTCTTTTTTATAGGGTTCCCTTGTATGCCGCAATCTAAATCGAAGATGTTTTTATCAATGTTGTCTAAAGCCGACGGATGGTTCGACGACCATTTTCGTATCACGAACCCCCCACGACTTAAAAGTTTGATCATTTCGTCGCGAATCTTCATGATGTCCTCCAGCGTGTCTGCACCTGAAAGGAAATCGTCAACGTAGAAGTCTCGACGAAGTAGCATTGCCACCCTTGGGAATCTGCTCTCTTCATTAACGGCTAACTGATGCAATGTTCGAATTGCGAGAAAAGGAGCGCACTTGACCCCGAAAGTTACAACGTTGAGAACGAAAGTTCGAACTTCACCTTCGTGGTACCACAAGATCTTCTGGAACTTCCTATCGTCGGGATGAATCCAGATTTGTCGGTACATCTTTTCGATGTCGGCAGTGATGACGAAGGGATGAGAACGGAATCGCAAAACCTGCTCCCACAAAGTTTCCTGAATGGTCGGCCCAGTCAACAGCATATCGTTTAATGAAATGCCCGTGGAGGATTTTGCAGAAGCATCGAAAACAACACGACACTTCGTCGTTTCGCTGGACTCCTTGATCACCGCGTGGTGAGGCAAGTAGTAACCATCGTTGTTGTCGTCTTCGCACAGCGTCATGTGGCCAAGTTCCAGGTACCCGTTGAATTCCTTCTCGTACTCTGCTCGGAAACTAGAGTTAGCATCAAATTTGCGCTGCAACGCCTGAAAACGCTGTAACGCTTGATGTTTTGACAAACCTAGTTCGAATTTGCCTGATCGAAACGGTAGACGAACGATATAACGACCTGAAGCGTCACGTGTCGTGGTTTGAACGTAGTACCTTTCGCATGCTACGTCCTCTTCTGACTTGATGGGTTGATAATCCATGTCTTCCATCGCCATGAATCTTTCTAGGAGTGAATCTAACCTCACCGCATTGCACGAAACTGAGTTGGGAATCGTTGATAAGATAGATCCTCCGGCTGCTATCCAGCCGAAAGAAGTTTTTTGAAGAGTGATTTGGGATCTTTCGTCATTTAGCCTGATTTGCCCTATGGCAAGAGAAGATAGAGTTGGACCTGACGCTAGCAAGACATCGACCGGTCTGGGTATATGAAATTGAGGATCTGCTAATTTGATGTTCTTGGGGATGTTGAATTTCTCCCGAGGGAAAGTCTCATTAGGCACCTACTCAGCTATTTTAGGTACAATCAAAAAGTTTAATTGATATTTAGAATCATTATATGTAGAATAGAAAGTGGCAGTAGTGTATTTTTCCGAAACAATATTCGCATTGTCTATTGCTCCGATATTCACAAAGCATTGTTTAACTGGTAATTGTAAACGATTGATAAGAGATTGAGTCATTAAGTTTGCGTTAGAACATGAATCTAGTAGTGAGCGTGCCATGAGACGTTTTCCTCGGCATGACTGAAAGCTTAAAATTGCTGTAGTCATGAGTTGAGAATCAGGGAGGTATGCGCTTGACGCGAATGTTTGTTGGCTTAGTCATGATTGAGATGTCCCGGACGGTTTTGAGTCGTTCGCGGGTTGAGGGGTAGATGAACCTGATTTTTTGTCTGCATGTAGAAGGGTATGATGATCCTTATGACATTTTTTGCACCTTTTCTCGCTGGTACAGGAAGCAGAGTGAACGTATAAGCAATTGCGACATAACCCCTTTGCTTTCACGAGTTCCCACCTTTCGTTCAATTTCGCTTGATTGAACTTTTCGCATTTGTAGAGCCTGTGGGATTGACCGCATTGGACGCACGCGTTGCTGCTGGTCGTCGAGGTAGTGACGAGTGTGTTGGCAATGTTTTTGGAGACCTTTGCCGGGGGTTCTGCCTTGCTGCCTGCTCCCTTTCTTTTGGACTGGTAATCTCGTTTCGGAAGTTCATCTATCGCTCGTTGCTTAAATATTGAATCTTGAACGAAGATGTATAGCTCTTCCAATTTGGGGATTTCGCGATTTGAGTGTTTATCCATCCATCGCGACTGGAGATACCCGGGCAGGCATTTCTCGAGAATTCGCAAGACAATCTCGTCGCAGATCGCAATGTTCATTGTTTTGAGCATGCTGACGTGCTGACGGACGGTGTACATGAGGGTGGCTGTGGTTTCGGCGGTTGGATTTTGAACGGGAGCTAACTTTAGCAGAGCGTCGAAGTGCTCGTTGACCAGAACACGTCGTTGATCGTAAGCGTTGCATAACGCTTCCCAAGCTAAGCCGTAGCTGACGTCGCTGGGGTCAAGACAGAATTCTTTTATTACGGTCGCTGCTAAACCCTGAACTGCATTTTGAAGTTGGGACAATTTGACACTTCCCGCCATTCCTGGACGATCGTGTATAAGCGCTTGAAAGTTGGCCTTCCAGGGGACCCAGTTCTTGTGGTTCCCATCGAATTTGGGTACTGTCAACGGTGCAAGTTTCGCCACGTCAGTTCTCTCTATGAAGGTGGCGGTGTTACTTCCGTTGAACATAGTAGAATTCGCGAGAGGGGTCGCTGGGGGTTTGTTCATTTTTGATATTTGACTCGCTATCTCGAAATATTCGGATTCGAGCTCATCGAATGCAGCAATGTGGGGATGCTCGGGTTGCATCGAAAGAAGTTCTTCGCGATTCGCTGAATAACCTTGATATATTGTCGAAAGGGAATTTATTCGTAACTCCGCGTTCGTCGCATCAGGCGATCCCTTTGCTAAATATTCTTTAAGGGATTTCAATGTTTTTGTAAACCTATTAAATTTCTGTTCGATATAAATTAAGCGTTTTTCTGCGTTGCCGCTGGCAGGAGTAACCTCGTCGTTATTCATTTTGACTATTTATTAAATCGAAACAACGCGTTATGAATCAAATTGAAACTGACGTTAATTGAAGTTCAAAGAAAAAAACATGTAATTGAAACGGACAACGAAATTCTAACTGAATAATTAAACAATGTCAAACAATTGTCTACAAACTTATTTAATGGCAATTAATCACTAGTGGATTGTAAATTGCTCGCTAAATTCGAATAAACATGAAATGCTAACAATGACTCGAGTACCAATCAAAGCGCGATCGAATTTTAGTTTGATTGATTCACTCAATTTGACAAGAAGCAGACGACAAAAATAAAAACTAAAACGCTAGAATTAATTTAATTAAAATGGAATTAATCGTTATAAGTGGAAAGCGAAGCCGTTTGTTCGCAGGCGCATATTTATTTATTGAAGCAGAGAAGGCGAGAAAAGAAATAAAAACACTTATCTTAGTTAATGGAGAACGATGTTATTGGCCGCTGTGTGTAAATCCCCCTGGTCGGAAGCGATGGCAATGCTGATCGGCACTGACGACTGCGCACGCTGTTGCGCACGCCGGACGACTGCGCAGGTTGTTGCGCACGCTGGACAACTGCGCACGCTGTTGCGCACGCTGAGTGTTTGCGCGCGCTGTTGCGCGCGCCGAGTGTAGGCAATTGCACGAGGCGCGAATGAACGGCGGGAGAGCGAGCGAGAGAGAAGACGAATTTGGCGGGCTGCACTTGTCGGTGCACGTTGCGCACGTTTTCGCGCGTTTTTTATATGCACTTGTTTCCCTCCCCACACACTCTCACACATTTGCACTCGCGCGACGTCCCCTTTTCCGAAAATGAAAAAGGAGAGAAAGAGGTGGAAAACTACCTCACAGGAGGCACCATGTTCTAGAACGAAACGACTTCCTTGGCGAAGTAAGCCGCTTTAGTTTGAAATTGTCCTTGATTGCTGATTTATCTATCGTAGTTAGATTTTTAATTGATTAGAATAATGAAGGGGAAAAATCACTAAACACTGTTTAAGGGAAAAAGCCGTAACGGCATAAAAAACCCTCTTTATTAAATGAAAACTGGAAATTACACTTGCGAAGATAACGCGGGATAGAGACGTCGCGCGGAGACAATGGTTGTTACCATGCACTCATTCACACGCTCTCACACAAAGAAAACTTTATACACGATAGATTCACAGTCACTGTCACACATCCGAATTACATCGAAATGAGAAAAGAGACCACGTGAGTGGATGAAAACCTTATACTACGTGGGTAATATAAGTGAGGTTGCACGTGGGTGCACGAGGACGTTACCGAGAACGTGAAGGCGCGAGGGAGCTCCGCACGCGGGACGCTGTCGTCGACGATTGCCGGATGTACCGGCAAGAGCAGCCATGCTTGGCGCGAGTGGCGCAGCGCCGTAAGGTGCTGCCACCACGCTAGGTTTAAGGCCCTAGCGCCTCACACACACTTACACACAGACACACCAGAGCTGAGCGCGCAGCTTGATTCGCTTCAAAAAATACATGTCTGAATATCGTACGTATGTGTTAATACATGTGTATCATGTTGCGACGTAACAGAGATTAAATGGATAATGTTATCATTACGAAGTTGTATAGAACTTTTGCTATAAATGACATGACCTCTATTATAATCATTATTAATGCTACTGATTTTGATACATTTTTTATCTATATTGTTGGATTTGTATGTATGTTTCCGTTTGCTCTTTTCCTGAATGCATGCGTGATTAGTAATTTGTTCCTTTTTGTCAATATTTAATGATTTTGTCTGTATTACCTCTTCTAAGGTTCTTTTTCTTTGTGCTCGTGTCATAACACAAATTTTTGGTTCTACCGCAATCCGCGATAAACAGTCAGCTGGACCGTTTTCTTTGCCTGGGCGATAAATTATGTCAAAATCGTAATCAACTAGTTTTAGTCGCCATTTTTGTACTCTACTATTATTATCAGCCGATTTTAATGAAAGTAGAGGTTTGTGGTCCGTTACTACCGTAAATTTATTTCCGAATAAGTATGTTCTAAATGTTTTAATAGCGAAAATTATTGCAAGAGCCTCTCTTTCATAAGTCATATAATTCTGTTCTGTTTTGTTCAAAACCCTTGAAGCGTATGCGATGGCTCTATCGTACCCTAATTCTCCCTGGGAAAGGACCGCGCCCAAACTATGATTCGATGCGTCTGTTCTAACAATGTAAGGTTTGTTAAATTGTGGATATTGTAGAATAGGTGCTTCGCATAGTAGTTTTTTAATTTATTTAAAGCTTCCTGTTGTTCATTGTTCCAGAAAAATTTTGTGTTTTTATGTAAGAGTATAGTGAATGATTTTGTTACTTCTGCAAAATTTGGAATAAAACGTCTATAATAATTGCATAGCCCTAAGAACTCTCTAACGTTTTTCGTAATTGTCGGTGTTGGAAAAGCTTCAATAGCTTGTACTTTTTTTTTATCTGGTTTAATCCCATATTCACTGATAATATGTCCCAAAAAGGATACTCCGTTGTTGTTGTGCAAGGAAATGTAACAGATTCGGGGTCCTCTAGTGTATTTTCTCTTTCTAGTGGATGAAATTTGTTATTTTCCTCAAAGATTTTCGATTCTTCGTAGTGTTTTTCTTTTTCGTTTTTTGTTTTATTTTCCTTATTAATGCCATGTAAAATTTGACTTAAAAATCCCTTTTGTTCTTCCCTATTGGAATTTCCCACATGGGATGCGACATGGGATCCCACATGGAAACCTACATGGGATCTTATGCGGGATCTCGCATGGGATCCCAAAAAATTCAGAAAATCTTCGCAATCCCACATGGGATTCCGCATGCGGTACCAAAAAAAATTATTGATATAAGCGTATTTTCATTGATAATACCTCGAATAAATATTTTCAACATGCAATAATACTAATAATCACAATTTTAACTTATTACATTTTATTTTCTTAATGAAAAATCGAATTACAAATTTATTATTCAATAGTATTAAGTTGGAACTTATATCACTTTTAATATTCATAAGCTTTAATGCAGAAACCAAATAAATTGTTTTTCTTTTCATCTTCGTGCGTCTTGTATGGCGTAGCCGATATGTCGCTTGTATAATCCTTTCCAAGTCGCTGCCATAGCTCCAGTAGAATCGATGGCGTTGCAGCGTTTCATTAAGAGAACTGTAAGAAGAATAATATTAATTGGAAGCAACGATTAACATAGTTAACTTTAGTAGAATAAAAATATTTTTATAACCTTTGATAATGCGTAATTCTCGACGGAACATTTCTTGTCTTTCTTTGTCATTAACTACTACCGTTGTTTTTATCTCGAAAATACATTTCTCGCACAGCGTGCGCAAAGTTCGATTTTGCGCACGCTTTTCCGTGTGCAAAACCCTTGATTCCCGTACGCTTATCGTAACACGGAACTGCGCATGCGCAAACCCATTCCCGCACGGGGAAATACTTTGCGCACGCTAACTGCGTGGGGGAAATACTTTGCGCACGGAAAAAATGCGTCAATGTCTACAAAGTTTAACGAGGGAATACTGGGGAAGATACATTTTTCCCGATTACTGTAATTGGCGAAGACAAATTTTCGCCAGTTACTGTAATTAAGGAAGATAAATTTTCTCCAATGAAAAAAATCTAGGAAAAATCAATTTTATTATTTATATCCAGACATATTTATGATTACATTACAGTTATAAAAATTTAATGTAATTTAAATGTTTTTAAATTTAATGTTTATTTAAATCTATTGTATTTGCCAAATTTATTTCTGTAGCACCTTTTGTTTAGACATTTTTGTTGAATTGAAAGGAACTAGAAAGGACAAACGCGAAAGGACAACTGCCAAATTTGTACTGGCAGAATGTTTTCCGTCGGACCTCAAGAACATAGTTTTTGAATTTTCATTTTTAAAAATGAGTTGCGTGGAGTGGGAAAGGACTTCGTTTTCCCAATATTTTTCGCTATCTACATTGTCAATGGGGAAAAAAAATGTTTTGCGTGTTTTTCCACATTTATTCCTTAATTATAAAACCTTCTTTTTCCACCCATCTCACAAATTCAAAGTATAATCGAACTTTTCGCATCTCGTACGAGAAAATAGTATACGATACGCGTGCGAAAAGTAGGCGATCATGCATGCGCGTTACCGACCTCGCTTAGCTCGGTCGGTAACCCTCGCGCGTGCGGGAATCGCCTACTTTGCGCACTTGTATCGTAATGTACTATTATTTGCCAATTCATGTGGTTGAAATAAACGCTTCAACAAGAACCTCAAATATTTCGACGCAGATTTTCGTTGTTTATTTCAACCACGTGAATTGGCAAATGAATGTATTTTCCGTCGAGAATTACGCATTATCAAAGGTTATAAAAATATTGTTATTCTACTAAAGTTAACTATGTTAATAGTTGCTTCCAATTAATATTATTCTTCTTACAGTTCTCTTAATGAAACGCTGCAACGCCATCGATCCTACTGGAGCTATGGCAGCGACTTGGAAAGGATTATACAAGCGACATATCGGCTACGCCATACAAGACGCACGAAGATGAAAAGAAAAACAATTTATTTGGTTTCTGCATTAAAGCTTATGAATATTAAAAGTGATATAAGTTCCAACTTAATACTATTGAATAATAAATTTGTAATTCGATTTTTCGTTAAGAAAATAAAATGTAATGAGTTAAAATTGTGATTATTAGTATTA